CTGGCTAAGATTTGGATGGGAGACCAACAAGGAAGTCCAGGATTGCTGTGAAGAGGCAGGCAATGGCAAAATACTTTCATTTGTCTCTTGCTTTGAAAATCTTACAGGGTCAATGTAAATCAGCACAATGTGACGTGCTTTCCACCACCAGTACTTCAACTGCACATGTGAATGCTTGGAGCCGTAATTATGTTTTAAGTGTGTGTGTGTGTGTGTGGGGGGGAATTGCAACAAATGACTCCTGAAAGAGAGAAAAACAACAGGGGGGAAATGGAGTGACACCAGTTGACCACATTATTACTTAAAATTATGTAACAGTGGCGTGAAACAAATCTTGGCAATTCTGGAATAAATGGCTGCATGGAACCCACCCAAATCTCAACAGCCACATCAGCTGGAAAAAGAACAGTGTTCTGCCAGCAAGAATACAGTGAGTGATCAATAGCTGTGCATTTGTTGTGGTACAAAGTGATTACCTGGAAAGGATCTTGCAGTTGTTCTCTTGCATAACTTTTTTCAGAAGATGTATCTCTGACAGTTCCTGGACATTGGGATGGCTGGGGCCTCAATTACTGATGGTGCTAGACAGTGTTCCCTCTAAGCTGAGTTAGTGTGAGTTAGCTCACAGTTTTTTTAGCCTCCAGCTCACACGTTTGTCTTAGTTCAGGAAGGATGGCTCAAGAGCACACCAATTTATGCAGTAGCGAAATCGATTGCTCACAACTTTAATGCCAGTGGCTCACAAAGTAGAATTTTTGCTCACCAGACTCCACGGCTTAGAGGGAGCATTGGAGGAGGTATATAGGAGCCCACTTCAGATTAGCCCTGTGGTGTGTGATGTGGTGGGTTTTAAACCGTCAATGGCAAAGGCAATGGCAAAGCACCTCTGCTGGTCTCTTGCCTGGGACTCCCTATGGATGGGGTCACCATGAATCAATTGCAACTCGACGGCATGTTCTTCTTTCCTGCAATGGCTTCCTAGTCTGAAATGGCCTCTATTTAATTTGCTCTTTAAGCATTCAGGTGGCCCCAATGCACAAATAGCAGCTACCCAAGATCATTTTTGCACTGGAAAATAGGTGCAGGGATAAGACTTGATCCTCCTGTCCCCTTTGACCCACAGTCGCAGTTTGAACAGGGCCCCTTTGTACTTGGTTTTTCAAAGCTGAAAAATAACACTGGAACTCTCTTCATAGGCCCCGGTCACACGAAAGGTTTTGGGCCGGGAGAGGGGCGGATCGGGGGCGCAGCAAATGGGCGCGATCCCACCGCAACATCTGGGAAGTGTTGCGCAACCGTCCCCGATCCGGCCCTTCCGCCCGAAAAGCCGCAGCAAAACTAAACCACCTACCGAGGTGGACCTTTCAGCACGGCCGCATCAAGCCCGGCTGTGGGATCGCCGGCGCGTCTTTCTGCTGGCGCATCCCAGGGTCCTGGCTGAAGCGCATCCTCACACATGTGCAGTTCGGCAGCCTCCCTTTCCCCACCGTGGCTTCCCCCGGCATCTGATCGTGCCGAGGAGGGAATGCGCCGCAGCTCAGGGGATCAATGTGATCCCGCCACCGCGGGTTTCTTTTGGTGTGGCTTTAAAAAGCCGCACTTTGCCCATACCTTCCCCCCCCCCGTGTGGCAGGGACCATAGTATAGCTAATTGCTGGCATACTCACATTCCTGGCTCTTCAGGTGACTTAACACTGTTTTGGTGCTGTGGATTGTGCCACAGATACTGTTAACACAAACATGCAATGAAGTTTGGGTGTACGTTGGCTTTGTTGCACACTGTCATACATGAGGCACACTGAACCAACTGCATAATGAAATATTGATTTCAATTACCAGCAGCCGTTATTTATTTAACAGTGCTCAGGCATATTTATTTTGGTTTCCTAGGACATATCCTCCTTCATATTATCTTGCCGGAAAACCAGTGATGCTCTCTCTTCCTTGCTTAACTAGGAGAGCTCTTTATATCCTGCCCAACTACCTGAGGTTTGAACCAGTTTCTTTTGCAGCAGTACCATTTGGTTGGTTGTTTTCTATCTTCTGGCAGAATACAAAACAAGAGTCCAAGACTATTTTGAGGGTCTCTGATTTGAAGAAGTCAAAAGCTGCAGGTGAATTTCAAGGTTTGCAGATAGGCTTGTTTGCTTAGCATGGTTGTGCTGGTGAGAGACTGGGGGGGGGGCGTGGGGGCCGGCAGTCATCAGCAACAGCATGATGTCACTCTTGAGAAATACTGGAAGTTATATCATGCCTCTCTGGGAAATCACTGGAAACCCCATGGTGAAATCATAAGAGTTTTGGATAATTTCTTGAGATTTGGGATATTACTTCTGTGTCGTGCAGTAGCTGACAGCTTTTTTTCTTTTAAATCTTTTTCCTTCTAGACACTGGAATGGGCATTGGGCAAACCTACCTGCAGCCCAATCCCCTAAGCATTCAGACCGGCTCATCTGGAAACTTTGTTGACTGATTGCCATCTTGAGAGTTATGTTGTTAGATTTTAAATTAGACTATTGTATTGTACTTTCATTGTTTTTATTCGGTTGTAACCAGCCCTGAGCCAGCTTGCAGGGAGGGCTGGATATAAATGCAATAAAATAAATAAATAAATAAGGGTGTCACTCTGGAAAGGTGGATTTGGGGGCAGGAGCTCTATGGGGTTGTGATGTCACAGAATCCACCCTCGAAAGCTGCCATTTCCTCTGGGAAACTGACCTCTGTGCAGGCGATCAACTGCAACTCTGGCAGAATTCCAGGCTGCACCTGGAGGCTGTGCTATCGACCACATTTTAATTTCCACTCTTTCTCTAAGGCACACAGAACAGCATGGGTGGTGCCTCCATTTCAGTCTTGCCAGGGACTCTGCAAGAAAACAGCGACTGGTCCCAAGGTCGCTTCATTGCTGAGTGGTGATCTGAACTGCTGCCCAGACTCACTCACACGTGCCAGTGAATGAGGCGGCAATGAGGTGGCACAGCCCTGAGAATGGATCACACCATTCCAGGCCACAGGAGGTGAACTCCAGTACTGAACGTTCATTCACAATTCTTTTTTCAAACCTTCAAGTAATAGAACAATGAACAGCACTGGGGGAAAAGGTTCTATATATTCTCTCGTTTACAGGGAAGCAGTCCAAAATATGGTCCTCCATTCGGAAGTGGAGCAGTCCATTCTACCATCTCAGTCAGGTCTGCCAACCTACAGCTAGGACCTGGAAAGGTCCTGCAGATTTTAGGGGTGGAACTTGGGGAGGGCAGGGTCTGGGAAGAGAAAGGGCCCTAGTCATAGAGTCCAACCTTTGAAGCTGCCATTTTCTCTGGTGGAATTGATATCTGTCACCTGGAGATGTTGCAATTCCGGGAGAACTCCAGGCCCCTCTCTAGGAAGTTGGTAACCCTAGAATCTCACGGAATTACGACAAACAGCCAAGATCAGTTTCCCTGAAGAAAATGGCTCCTTTGGAGGGTGGACTGTATAGCATTATATCCTGCTGAGGTCTCTCCCCACGGCAAACCCTCGTCCTCGCCAGGCCCCACCGCCAAAATCTCTTGAGGTTTCCCAACCTAGAGTTGGCAACCCTAGCCCACCCCACCCCCTCTCCAGCAGAAGCGAACCAGGCGCGACGAGGGACGCTTTGCACACGTGAGGCTGTCGGAGGCAAACAGAAGTCACCGTCGGGCATGTGCGGCCGCGCAGCCTGGCCTTTCAAAGAGGCCGGTGCCGCCACCCCCGCAAAGCAGCTACGCAACACGCCTCGTTGCTCTCCTCGACTAGCGAAGGGTCGGCAACTGCAAGGTCCGGGTGTGTGTGTGTGTGTGTCGGGAAATGCCTTTACGCGGCCAGCGTCACGCTGAAATCCGGATAGCGATACTGGAGATGTGCCTTATTAGGCAGCCCAAAACCCCGAGTTCCCAGAACTGGGAAATATTTAACTGGAGCTATTGGGAGACACAGCCATTGCTCTGGTTGTTGCTTCTCAAATGCAGGCGGGAACACCGGAAGAAACCCTCCTAGACTTCACCCGTGGACCGAAATCCACCTTCCGGACCTTTTCCTTGCTTCTGCTGGAGCCTTGGATGCTCCCAGGTCCCACAGGTTGGCGGGTTCTTAATACTGTCGCTCCTCCCCCAGCCTTCCTCCTCCTCTTTCTCTCTCTCTCTCCCGCCCTCGCTCTGCTCTTTCCTCTCCCCCGGTTTCCTTCTCTCTCCGCTGCACGGCTTGCAAAGCCCCAAGCAGGAACGAACTGCAGAGCTGTATATATACATTTTAATGGGCGCCGCTCTGGGTGGAGGACAATGCAAATCACCCTGCCTGTAGCTTCCACTTGGCTGTGCCGGCCGACTTTTGGAGCTGTCCCCCGCGCTCCTCCGAGCGTGCTCGGGTAGAGCTCGCTTCTGCGTGGTTTCTTTTTTCCCCCCAAGAGGAGGCGGGCTTGCATCTGAAGAGGCGGGTGTGCATGCGTGTGTGTCTCCAGACTGCTTCCCTCCCAGCAGTAAACATTAACCAGGTGCTGGATGGGTATGCGCGCCTTCCTCCGAGCGGCCCCTACCCAAACCTGCGCCTGCGTCACGCCAAATGCCAAACCTCACAATATGCGCGTTGGAAACCTCCGGCCTTCCCGCGGCCCTTTAAAAACTTGATCGGCCCGGGAGGGAGGGGGG